AATTTTCAGTAAATATCCCACATTAGCAAGGAAACATGGAACATATTTAACTGTATGACAAAATGGATTCATGTATCCAATCTCATATAGTTTTTTTTTTATTACTAAATAAAAAGACTATCAATGCTAACAAAAAGAATTATAATCAGAACTCAGAATATCCCTTAACCAAAGCACATTAAATCATATAATTCCATAACTCATAAGGTAATACAATGAATCATATTTTCCCATACAACAAGGCAAGGCGGCACCATACTAAAATCGTGCATTTTCCATATAGCAAGAATGCAAGATCACCTTTTATTTGGCATTACATTTGTGGGGACTCAGCAATGCAGACAGAGCAGGGTGCACATGAGGCCCATAGGCCACACCACAGAAAGCCTGTGGATCCATAGGTTTGATACACCTCCTTTTTGGCAGTGACACCGTGTAAGCAACTACTGGATTATTGGCCATGGTTGTCTACCGGCCTCTTGGACTTTGATACTAATGTGATTATTTTCTTAAGTTGGAAGTGCATTTTTCAAGACTTCCAAGTGATCTTGCTATATGGCCAATTATCCAGTAGTTGGTTACACCATTTTTTTAAGTGAAAAATGGACCACTCACCACTGCCTGCCAATTTTGACCATCCAGCCACTTGACCAGCTATCCTCTTAAGCTTCATTTTCTACCTTATGCAAAGAAATGGGCCTAGTCTCTGTGTTTGCATCTTAAAACTTGTTGGAGTAATAAACAAACCCCTTTTACTTACTTGACTAAAATTTATTCGTAAATTAACTTTACTGTTTTTTCTTAATGCCATAATCATCTGAATTCTCAGCAACTTCCTTTTCACTTCAGTTGCTATTGTTAAGCAGCTAGGCGTAAGCTTCAGACCTCCCAAATGGAACACTAGTAGAGAATAGACATCTAGAAGTTCCATTAGGCTACGCATAACAGTTGCAAACTGGACTGGAAAAGAATGTTACATGCGCCACAAGCAAACAATTTTGGGATCAATTGGGTTTCTGATCATGGCCTACAGCTTTGTTATCCCCCCTACTTCTATCATTTACAGCCTATGACAAAGCTAGGGGAGGTGCTGTCGCATGCATCATCTAAACAGGAGTTTGACAGGTAGGGGGAGATTACTCTAGGATTTATGGGACTTCCCCCAATTAGAGGAGCTGAGGGGAAAAGGTAGTCGGCCTCAGAAGATGACATCAAAGATAAGAAGAATGAAATGGATAGGGAGCGTGAAGAAGCATATGAGGAGGTGTTCCAAATTGACAAGATTAGACATTTACACAAGTGTCCTCCAATCAATAGATCAGGTTCCAAATACACCCAGAATGTCTTTCTGGGTCACAGGTCAAACAGTTTTACCACGGTTGTATATGATAGATAGATAGATAGGTTCAAGTCTCCTTTACATTTTAAGGTTTGTGGTAATTTAGTGACCCGGGTGGGTCCTTGAAACTTGGCCGGTTTTAAACAGTTCCCATCCGGTTTTGATTGGTTTGTTGATTTTTCAGAAATCTGAAAAACTGGGGTATCCATTATCCAAAAATCTGAATGGCTTCTGGTTCCGAGGTGATACAGCCCAACCGTCTGGTCTGGTCCAAGTTATGGAGATTACACCTTTCCTAAAGCTACATATAGATAAAGAGAATACCACTTGTAAGAGGAAAAGATGAATCATCAAACAGCTAAAGATGAACCTGTATTTGGTGAAAGTCAATGAGGAGATTAAATCCTTTAAGCAGAGACCTGGATTGAGCTAGGAGTAAGTCTAGAAACAGTATCCTTTTGTCTGGATTCAAATTCAAATTAGGCAGAGTTTGGGAGTGCTTATTTGAAAAATAAGTGTTCATGAGTGTTTGGTGAAAAAGCACTTATTGCAAACAGGGTAGTATAGATATTTTTAAAATGACATGGCGGTCCAAGGCAGGCCAGAAAGGAAATAAGCACTTAATGGTAAGCCCAAAATTTGGGCTTCTTGAATAAGTGCTTATATCAGGAATAAGCACTTATTTGGGTTTATTTCCCAAATGCAAATAAGTACTTATTGGTGTGGTCCCGGCCCAAAAATAAGTGCTTATTCAAATAGGCACTTATTTTTAAGCACTCCCAAACTAAGCCTTAGATCCAATATTAGTGAATAAAATTTTGATATAGGTATATCTGATTAAGTCCAATCCATTTGTAGCTCTAACTGGGAGTGGGAGGTAGGCATCAAAGAGAACTTGAAGATAGAGGTGCTCACGGTTCAGTTAACCGAACCATGAGCTATTTTTTGAAACCAAACCGATACTACGAGTTTTTGAAAAACTGTGAACCAAAACCAATTGGTTAACCAGTTGATTGGTTCAATTCTTCAGTTTCTCGATTTTTTATATTTTCAATATAGTATAAATAATAAATAAATACGATAAATATATATAATATATTATTATTTATTATATTATACATATATAATTAAAAATATATATATATATATATAATTATATAATATATAAATATATATACCAGCCGGTTTGGTTAACTGCTGATCTTTTGGTTAACCAGATTTTTTGGTTGAATTTTCTTGGTTTGGTTTGGTTTGGTTTTTGGTTTTTGTTGAGCACCCCTACTAGGGAGACATCTCAACCTGTAAAAGAACCTTTCAAGACTACAATTACTTGTTCAAAGAGTAACATGGATAGAGGAAGAGGAGGAAGCTGTAAAGTGGAGAGATGGGAAGCAGGGCAGGTGATTGGTGGTGGTTATTCAGCATTGAGGCATGCTAGAACTTTGAAGTAATGGAATTTTTACCACTTGGAAACAGTTAAAAAGTAAGAGGAACAGAACGTTGTGTGTACAAGAAACTAAAAGAAGAATAATAAAGATAGATAAATGACAAAGAGCTATACCTAATCTTAATTTACATACCAAAAGAAAATGACACCAGACTAGAGGCAGTTACAATAGTATGAAAGTAAGGAGCACTCCTTCAAGGTTTGAAAATAGTTATTCCCTTACTGAGGTGGTCAAATCTGATTGTCAAAGGGAATTGCAGAGTGGTGATAAGTTGGATGGAAAAGGAAAATGAAAATGAAGGCCCCCAGGAACTGCACCAGGAGATTACAGAAGCGTTATGGTGGGCATCCTATTTGTCTTGCTGGTTTGAGTTGATAATTCCATCAGCCAATTCTTTAGCTGATACTCCTGCAAAAGATAGTAACCAGAAACCATATTTTTTTTAGGGAACATCAGGGTCTGGGTTTGATGTACTTACTAATCATTATAGCCAGAAACCACCGAACAAACTGAAACCTAAACCTATTTCTTGCTAATGATTATTAATTAATCGATGACTCACTAGTTTAGCAGAAGAAAGAAAGAACTTAAGTGTTCTCTAATCTCTACAATTCAAGATCATGTGCGCTGATATCAACTTTATACCCATACAAACAATACCAATCTACACACGTGTTCTCTAATCGATGACTTGTTTTATTTCCACAATAGCATCAAACGGTTAGAAAAGAAAACATACGTAGAACTTCAACAGCTACATATTTTCCAGTGTCATGGGAGTAAAACAATTTCCCTAAGAAAGTGTAAACAGAAATCAGGGAACAATTCACCCATGAGAGAGAGAGAGAGAGTACATAGACCAGAAAGAGAAACGGGCCCCACTTAGTGCCTAAATTTATTATATTGCCATTGTATTAAATGGAAGTTGCAGGATTGTTAACAATGTAGGTGTACTTGAACGCCAAACAATGCAGGATTGTTAACAATGTAGCTCACTTAAATCCTTAATCCATAGCAGGATAGACAAAAAGGAAAGGAAAATTAAAGAAGGAAAAGTGCTTTTCTATTTTCTGTTTTCTTTCCCCTTACCTGGACGAGAGAATCATCAGAGGTCAAGTTTGAGTTCTTCCTTGTCTTCGCAGAGATAGTGAAGGACGGAAAGGGATAGCTCTAAGCCTCTAACCACGGCCGCCATCCATATTCCGAACATCGTCATATGCATGCCCAGCTGCTTCAGTAACGTCGCCCTGTCCAGCTTCCTGGGAAACCCTCCCAGAAACATCAAATATCCCTCTTATTCTTCTGACTTCTGAGTTCTGCCGCGAAGGAGATTATTCTAGGCTATTGGCGTCACTCGGCTTTTGGGATTTTTGTTCAATGGACGAAGAAGTGTGATCGGTGATACTGATACCTTATGTTGGGGCAGGGAGCCGAGAAAAGTTGTGGCTGTCCACATTCGGCAGTCTATGCTGTCTACGGGGCTCTCTGACTCTCCCCATTGGACGTTACTACGTTAGTCCATACAGACATGCATCAATTCAAATTCATATACACCACCAATAAATAGGCAATAGCAGAGGCTGTAGGCTGCCGAATGTCGAAGACGGCCATATTCTTTAATTTTCACCCGGAAATTCATAAATTAATGGAACAGTTGTGGCCTATCAATATCATTCTCCAAAATCCAATTGTCCACATTAAACTGGTCGAGTCTGGGCCAGCCAACAGACATTGCATCATCCTACGCTAAACTGGTCGAACCCGGCCTCACAAATTAGTAGCTCTGGCATTAGTTGATACACCCATATTTGCATTTACCACATTACCACCTCATACACGCACACGGGTAAGGGAATAAGGGTTTTATTGACTTGCCCGTGGACACATGGGGTGAACAAGCGGCTTTTGTTGGCTTAATTAGGAGCAGTGGCTCGCCATCATAATTCATTATGAATTATGTAGGTGCCACCTCCACCTGCGTGCAACGCTTCAAAATATGGGAATTGTTCACACTTCACCCCTCTGGCTCTGACCCCTCCCCTCATTTGTTGTCTAAAAATTTTGTATTTGGACGGAACTAAAGTGGTAGGGTATAGACTATAGAGTTCACGTGGACCGGGCCAGGGCCAGGTGAACACATAACATCTGTAGACTGTAGAACAACCACCATCTTATAGGCCCACCTTTCTAAACTCCGATAGGTCATCATCCGCTGACAAGAAACCAATAACGAGTCATAAAGAAAAATTTTATTTTAGTTGTTATCATCTATAGTTTACTTGTACAAACTACAATCCTTCACCACTTTACCCACCAACACAGGTCCAAGTCCAACACCACCCTTGGCCTTGGGCCTTGCTGCCTTGCACAGTGATAGACAGTGATGTGAGTAACCCAACCCAACCCAACCCAAGAACAAGCACACCCCAACAATTAACGTCTCCCTTTTGCCCTAGGTGGACCACAGGTCCACAGGCGCACTCGCCAGGCAAATCATGCTTAAAACTTTTAAAGAGGACACATTCTGTGGGAGAAAGAACGCAATCATAAACCATTGCATAGAAATTACGAGGTAGCAACAAAGGCCCAAAACTATGACGACGACGACGATGACCCCAGCGGAGTCACCGGAATACGAATTTGAATGGGGACCTTCTCCTGCCACTCTCGGTCAATCTCCCACCGGACTTCCTGTCGATTTCAGTCCACCTTTAATCGCCATGGTCGTCGTTGTTGCCACCGCCTTCCTCGTTGTCACCTACTTCCGTCTAATCTCTCGCCACCTCACTCCGCCCGTCCGCAGTCTCCTCCGACGATCACGCAGACGCTGGAGACGATGGCGTCACCGCTATTCGTACGATCCATCCGTCGGCGACCTCGAATCACCTCTACCTAACAACGTTTTCGAGTCTACCGACGCCTATCACTACCTCTCTCCTTACGGCCTCGACGAGGCGGTAATCAAAACCATACCTCTCTCCGTCTATAGCTCCAAAGGAAACCACAACAATAATAACAAGGGGTTCTCCGGCGGGAGCCGTGACTGCGCCGTTTGTCTACTTGAATTCGAAGAGAATGACTACATCCGCACCCTCCCCGTCTGTGCCCATGCCTTCCATGTGGACTGCATTGATATATGGCTCAGGTCTCATGCCAACTGTCCTCTATGCCGTGCCGGGATATTCCGTCCAGAATCTCCATTTATTCCATTAATGGCAGCCAGAATCCGACCGAGTCTCGACGAAGGGCTATTAGAAGGTCTCCTCGTCAATCGGCTAACTGAAGCAGCTCCGGAAGCCGATGCACCAGCGTCGGAGATTGGACCCATTGAAGAGGCATCGCCTCGAAGAAACGAGAGCGACGATAGAAGATTTAACGGTCGAGATTTCTTGTTAAAGAGATCATACTCATTCGGATTCGAGCGAAACTTCACAGTGGATCGGTTTGTGATGGAGCCAGCAACAACGTCACCTTGGAGATATCGTAGAGGGAGTTTCTGGAGCAAGCGGCCATCGCCTTTTAGCTCATTGTCTAAACCAAGGGTTTTCTCTTTCCGTTACTACAGGGGCATGAAATCTCCTTTCTTTCGACGGAGAGGATTGTTTCCACTATCAGAATCAAGCGTGAGATACTCCGGCGGAGGATCATCGCGACGGACTAAGTCGTTGACCAGCCCTATCTTCATGAGATCGTCGGTGGTGGCAGGGTTCTCGTCCAGCCGATTGAGGTGCGGAGATCTCGAGGCATTGCTATCGCCGGAAAGATTGAATTTGGGCCGAAGATAGCATGATTGGCAAATGAACCGGAATCGGATCACCGGCGAGAATTACCGGGAACCGACGGTGGCGGTGAGTTGGGGGGTGCAGATATCTGGGGTCGTTTCTTTAATGGAGGTCGCATGCCGAAATTAATGAGTTGCCGGCTTTGTAGTGGCCAGTGGTCACGACTCACGAAAGAACGGGGCAATTAATGAAATTAGACGAGAGAACCTATGGAGCTTTCTTCCTCTCTTCGGTCTGTGTACCGCTGCCGACGGGTAATGGCGAAGTTGGGTGGAACTCATAAATGCTAGAGTGAGAGCATTAGCAAGAGTCTCTTCAGCCAGCCTTCACTCTTCCTTCTGGTCTGCTTTAGCATGGAAAAGCGGGAAAACCACACCGACTCTCTCATGTACATACATTAAAGAAAAAAAAAAAAGACTGGCTCAAGACAAATTGTTGGACTTAACCTAGCCCTCCCCTCCAGGGTCCATTTGATCAGAATCTTTTTCATCAAATGCAATAATAAGATCAACCCTCTGTATATCCTGATCCTGTCTGGCTGAGAACCAATTTTGGATTCGAATACCTTATGTATGTCGACCTCGGATACATTATGACTATTAATTATTATTTTATCATTTGAAGTTCCAACATTAGTATTTAGTAGCAGTAAATAAAAAAAAAAAATAGATAATAATAGAACGGTGCTTGTCTCTCTGAACTTGAAGAGTTTAAACGAGAGGGTGGGCGGTGGAAACCGCCGAGTTCAATTTGCCTTTCCCTACTATTAACTTAAAGCCTTGGTTTGTTTCTAAGCTCACCAACACGACAGGGGCCGTCTGACACTGAGAGCCCACAACAAGGAAATGGAAAGGCTACGTTACGTTTGTTAAGGTGCGTTTTCTATGCTTCTCTATTGGTCATATGGATTATGGACGGTGATGGCAGCCTCATACCTATGACCGGGAAACCATATGGATATATAATCTAGTTTAGCCAGAATTGTTTACTGAGTCAGGAGGACTCAGGAGCCAGAAATTCGGAACCTCGTCTGTCCTTATGATAAGATTGGGCCCTGGGTCCAAGTCCAACTTCTTGACGTCTGATTGGAATCTATAGAATGTGTTGTTAGATCATGTCCCTTCTGGCTTCAGGTAAGACCAATCCCTCTGGCTCTGGGCTTCCTTTTTTTTTTTTTTTTGATAAAATGCTCTGCGTTTCTGGGAGTAGGAGGGGGGCCGGGGTTTGGAAATTGGAACAGCCAGCTATTACTAAGTATTAAGGCTAATAAATTATTACCAAAAAAATAGTAATAAATTGGAGTCAATAACCTTATCAGCCAGGCTTTAATAATATCACTGCATGCATTGCATTTTGTTTCAGAAATCGGACAAAGGCGATAAGCATGCCATAAAGAAGGAAGGGGGGGGAAGGTCTCATAAAACAGTGCATGATCTCGACACCCATAGTCAACTCTCTCGTTCCCTCACTTCACGTGGAGACACGTCATAGGCTAAGTCAGATTTCAGACAAAACCTATTAGTTTTAGTTAGGAAAGCACTCCAACTTTTAACTTACTACGAATTCGCCACGTATGCTGCTCTTCACCTGCACTGACAAGTGACAACAACGGTTTATAAAGTTGAAACCATCCCTTTTCTAACACAATTGCAATAGCTCTCTGTCAAATCCGGTCAACCGGTCAAGTCGATCGTGAGTTCTATTTTTCAACGAAGCTTTCTGTCAAATATCCTTTGCCACGTGGCAACGCAAGCCTCTGCCCTAGTGAAGTGCACCTGGACCTGGATGGCAATATGATATCTGTCCCTGGGAGTAGGACACACGCAGATTATGAATGTATTTGTAATTAATTAATTTATTGATTAATTAAACAGTTTTTGAATCATTGAATGTTGACATGACACCAATAAATACGGTGACCCATTGAATGGGAAATGGAATTGAACCTGAAAAAGTCTGTCATTTTGTGTTAATCCGACTGACCAGTCCAAGGGGGGAATTATTACGGTACCTTACTATTGCTTATTGTCTTCTTGAAATTTGTCAGCCTGTTTACATATAAACAGAGCTTCTGGGTTTTTCCCTTTTTTTTTTTTTTTCTTGCGGTGTGAATCCCTTGACTTAATTGCTCCTATAAACAAAAAAGTTAGTTCATCAGGTAGACTGGTGGAGGTGGAAAGTGGGAACGGGAACCCCATTATATATCTCTGAAGTCTGAACCAGTCAAATTAAATAGATCAATTAAGGAGTAAATGTAAATACTAAAACGCCCTTAACAATATGAAATATAACAATATCCTCATGATCTGGTTGCTGTTTATGTTAAATATGCATGTTTAGTCAGTCTCATTAGGTTTGTTGCTTGCAATCTCACTATGGGATTTCCTGGTTAATAAGTCAACAAGGTGCAGACACGCTTCTTTAATTAGAAGGGGCATTTGGAATGAGTTTGTTGGAAATTTGGCATTATTCGATACAAATGACCAACTTGTATCGACAATACGACACATACATCCATAATCCGCTGGACACATACAGTCCGCTCTTAACAATCGTACCTCCATCCTAGAAGTGGACTGAAATATAAAAAACCCTAATTATTATGGCATCATTATTTATCATATGTCTGTATATGAGAAAATCAGAAGAAGATGGGACTATAAACTACTTGGATTCGATTGAGGAGAGCTAATATTCTTGTAGAGAGAGGAACCAATACCTCACCAATGTTTTAAAAACCGACCTTACGTCTAATTGTTTTTGCCTCACCGGTTCGATTGTTCAAGTTGAACGGGTCAAACTGTACTATCATAATATGTAAATTCATATATATAATGTAGTATTATTTTATATTTAATTTATCTTTTTTTAATTTAATATAGTTTTTTTATTTATAAAAATATTAAATTTTGTAATTTGAGGACAAAAAGGTTCTTTTGCAAAAATAGCGGGGCAAGATGTATAGATCTCAAAAATTACCCAAAATTGAAAAAATAAAATCACTTTAATTGAGCATCAAAGTTCAAAGTGATGGCTTCACGAGATTTACATACACATTTAGTGTGTCAAGTCACTCAGTTGAATGGATCAAAGGTCCAATTGCTTGAGTCGAATGGTTTTTACCAAGGTTTTTAAAATTGAATTGGACAAATGAGCCGTTCAAGGGTCCGGTTCTCAAGTCGAACGGTCTAACCATTCGAATCGAATGGATGATCTATTCTGACAAAAAATAAAAAATAAAAATGATTAAAAACTACTTAACCTTTTAAACAGTTTGATCACCCAAATCAATGGTTTGCTGACCAAATTAACAATTTTTGGCCAAAATGACGACTCTAGGATAAAACAAAATTGATCAGGTTTTGAAAAAGACCGATTCCCGGTTGGAACAATTCAACCGACGGGATCAACGGTGGGTTGAAAACACTATACTTTACAATGTAATTCTGATTACTGTTTGACAATTAAAATAGACCCAACTGTCCCCCTCCATTATCCTGTATGTGCATGTGATAGGCTAAAAATTCCCACAGCATTGTGTCACATCTTTATTGGATTGGACCCCAGACCTAGAACCAGAAGGTAGCAATTTGATCTCCCATTTGGCATGCCTTACCAGGCAGGATGTGTCTCATGTTTGGTTCGAAGGAAAAAGTAGGAAAAAGAAAGGATCTATACAAGGTTGGCATAAATTTATCTCTCTTTCCTTTTTTTCTCTATTTTTTCCTTCAAACGAAACATAGCTTGAAAGCATCATAAAAAAATCTTTTAAGTGATGTCTCACTGATCTCGCAAATAGACTAGATCGGATATATATATATATATATAGGATTTGACACACCCACTTGCATCTGTGTGAACTGGCAAAGGCATGGTGACTGGTGAGTATAATGGCGCTCATTTTAACCTTCCCCAAATGGGCACAAAGAGCATCAACAAGCTGATACGTTCAAGTACAGAGGATGCCCCCTGTAAATTGAATTTAATTGGGTAAACAAGTTGACAAAAGGGCTCTTGATTCTAGTGCGTTGTGATGGAGAGGTTGGTTTCTCGTAATAATTTGGGTGTCGTACAAGATTTTTAAAACCGGATGGGACAGGGAACCCTTCTGGAATTGGTTTCCGGGTTGAATGGTCTGATCGCCTGGTTAAAATAGATGGTTCATTCTAATAAAAAATTAAAAACAAAAAAAAAAAGAAAAAGAAAGGCCAAAAATCATTATCCAGGTCGATGGTTAGAAGGTTCAACCGCTCGGTCAGTGATTTATTGACCAAATCAATAGTTTTTGATTAAAAGCGATTTTGGGGTGAAACGGAATTGACCAAGTGACTGGTTCCAGATTGTTTCAGTTTTGAAACAATGGTGTAGTATGTCCAACTAAAAGTACCATAAGTTGATTTTCTCAATGAATACAACAATTATATTTAGGGCAAATTTCTTAAAGCATCCTTATAATTTAGGAAATTGATTAACTCTATTCTTACTATTTACATATTGTCTTTAAGTATATTTAAATTTTCTGACAATTGTCTAAAACCTCCCTTTCCGTTAACTTTCAACCACAATCCGTTCACATGTGATTTTTTAATTCCTAAAATACCCTTTTAGGGATATAAGTGTATAACACTATAACATAACCACATCAGGTCTCTACAAATCCCAGTGGGGGATTTGGTGGACACCCAAATTCAAATGACATTTAAGCATTCCAAGTAATTTCTTTGATCTCGGTATGGAGGAGGGGATTTGAGAGAGACCTCCATGGTGTATCTATCTTTCCGCTTACAGGGCTTTGAGAATCTTTTGATTTTCCCCCTTTCTTCTAAAAAAGCTTTAGGTGGAATAATTATAATTTCTTTCCAGCTTTCTCCTAATGTCTATTTCTTTCGGTCTTTGGTCTGTTTGTCTTGGGTGTTAGCGCATTTGTGTTTGTAATAGTAACGGATTTTTGTCTTTCTTTTACTCTTTTTTATTTTTTCTAGTGCTGGAGTTTATGCAAATGTGAATTTTCATACGTGGTCTTAAAGCTTTTGTTTTCTTTACTAAAGAAATAAACACTTTTTTCTGTGACTTTTTCTTGTTTTAAGGAGACCTACAGTTTAGTTTCCATAAGGGAGCTCAGTCAGCTTTTACCCTAACATTCAGTCATATTATCCTAGACCTTCGAAACGAGTCTTTAGTTCAGAATTCAGATTTTTAAGAGTTTCTTTTCATTTGATCCCAAATGGCGTTCTAGGTGCCTTTTAAGAATTAGTTCAAATTCATAATAGATTCCTTTCATTTGGTCCAAATGACGTTCTAGGTGCCTTCCACGAATTAATAAATTCTGGCTCATTAGTTCTCTAGATCTTTTGGCAGGGCAGAACTATAATTTGAGTCTCCGCCATTTTCATAGGGTTTGAACTAAAACTGGGCGAGGTTCACAATAGAAGCAGTAGATGCCCTCAGAATCCAAGTTCCTTTTCATCGTTCCAATGGTCCTATTCCATCTTATCATGGCAGGGAATAGGGATACCACTTTGCCAAAAAAATATACTCATTACCTATATATACTTCATCTATGAAATTGAAAAGCTCTGCTTTCCCAATAGGCAACTTAAAGTCTTAGGGGTTTCAATTTGTTCAGTCCAT